CATTGTGTCCGGAAGGTGATAAAACAATACATTTTCGGTTGTTCGTCACTCATACGGTGATATTTGAAAGCGTTGCTTTACTCAGTAAAGTAACGCATCAGTAAAGAAAATGCGCCACCCCTAGTCTTGTCCATTAGGGATCGCTCTTTTGTCAAAATACGGCCCTGATCAGGGTATCTAATAAAAAGGCGAGCGGTCAGTTGACCTAGTAAAACAATACTGAAAAGGTTGTAGATAGAAGTACAATAGAAATACATCATGAAAAGGTTGTTCGCAACACGGCTATTAATTCGTTGGTGAAAACAACCTTTTCAGACTTCGCGCTCATTCCAGTCGACAGATTTATCTGAGATTTATTAATTTATTCCATGTTCATTTCAGTCTAAAAACCGTGCTTTAAATAACTCATTGTCGTTCTCTAAACTGTTATAATTGAACGTTGTTGACTTTACAACTAACACATGAACAGTTTCGTGTTATGATGAAATATGTGATAATAAACAAAAGAATATGATAATCTTTCCTAACATTAAATACGGTAAAGATCTAAGACGTTTCATCGTTAACCACAGAGATGGACGAGACAGAATCACGACTCGAACTCGAGTCGCATTCTCCTATGACTCGAACTATATTAATTATATACCAGAACAGAGGAACATATTTGAGAATATTCTATCGCGTCACATGAAAAGACTGAAGATCTAGACAAGGACAAGACAAACAAGAGATAAAAAATAGTACTGCAAGCTTTTTCTTCGAAAAATGAATCAGGAGGAAGTTTAGTTCTATAAAGAAAAAAAAGGACTCGAGTTTTTGATGACACTCGAACTCGGATCAGGACTCGAAGCCTCCTGACTCGGACTCGAAAAAGCGGTGACTTGTCTATCTCTGGTTAATCAAATAATGAAATGCGTATAAATACAGCAATACTGTATAAACACATAGTACAATACCCAGGTCATTGTTGATAATGCAAAGTAAGCCCATTATGTTGACCCAGAAAATAAGTGAATGTTATGTAGATTTTGACAAATGTTGGAGGAATATTTCATCATCAGAGAAAAATGTTTACTGTATAGAATAATAGCTAAAAAACAGATACTTGAAACAAAATGTAATACACTTAAGAAAACGAAAGAGTAGACAAGCAAACGTTAATGTCCAACTGATGAAATATGAAAAAAACACCTACCCTGCAGAATAAAATCAAAGAAAAGAAATAAAAAATGATTCACAGTCGTTTTGCTTAATGTATTGTACCATATATTTTTCTTTCCATTAGAATTCATATTTCATACAGATATATACAATCGGTAAGCGTCAATAAAAAGTAATTCAGAAGTTTTTCTTACAGTAAAATTGCTTTAGTAAGCGTCATATACGCAACAAATCGTACGTTAAGTACAAATCAAACGAAACGTAATCATCAATATGAATAGTTATTCTCCATGGGCGTGAGTATATATTTATACGTTTTCTCACATTCTCTCTTTTGGAACCTAAAGGCATTTGTTTCAGAGTGGTCGATGAAGACGAAATAGTTGCAAGTAATTTGACGCGATCGGTAACCACTAACGTGACATTTTTGATTTGTATAATGAGAAAATATCTTTTTCAGATTCATAAACCACAAAATGGAACGAAAATCTCAGTTAATTTGACAACCGGTATACAGAAGATCATAAACACTTTCGCTACAACACTCTGACTGGATGTTTCAAACTACACAGGTTTAGCAAAAATGAGTTACCGCTCTATATTGCTGACTTTTTTAGTTCCTGTCCAACGCAAGGACTCAATATCAAGAACTTTATCTACAAGAAACAATGGTGAGAATGATATCCACTGCATTTTATTTAGGATGAGTGCGTTCTTTAGATATGAATGATAAACGTAAGACTAACGACAGACTCTCAATATTTTTTAGATAGGTTATTATTCTCGACTTTGCATGAGATTGACAACAATGTCAGATATTCGCAAGGCAACACTTTATTATCTTTCTATCGTCAACACGTTTAGTACGATCTGTTTTAAATCCACTCTGTGCCATAAGAATAGATCGATTTTGAGCTAACGAGAAACGATCGCACACTGCCCAACTCCGATTTCAACAATCTGTTTCCGACAGATACTATATAGTATCCTAGTGGTAACCCTAAAAGGATTTTGGTGTATGGCTCTGCTTTCAAAAGTTTAGAATTTTTGTATTTTCCCGACCCAAAGCCTTGCCTATATTTTAAAAAATTCTTAACTCTGTCATAAAGCATAGCAAAGAGCTGAACTTTCTTTCTGTTGCACAGTTAGATGTCTTCTATTAGCACAGACAATGTCAGCCTCCTAGGTCTTTCCATTCCTAAGTTGTAGGATTTTTCTAGCAACAAGCAAATTTTGTGAAAATTTAGGTTTTCAGGCGGATTACTGGAATCTGGACAATATTGTCAAATTTCCCCTAGAATTTTGACAATTGCTGAAATTCTAGGGGAATTTCGACAATAAAAGTTACACAACCTCGATGATCGTATTTATTATTTGTACTCTAGCATTACTACTTGCAGAATTGTTAACAGAGTAATAATTATTATCGTTGAAATTCTTTCAAAATTTCGACAATTGCCGAAATTCTAGGGGAAATTTAACAATATTGTCGAAATTCCGAAAGAGCCTCGACAACTGCCGAAATTCGTTTGGAATTTCGATACTACCGAAATTCCGGTGACGAAATTTCGGTTGGCGAAATTTCGATTCATCTTTCGGGCTGTTTTTACCTAGTTTACTATTCACTACAAAACGCATCACAACAAATTCAAAACTTCAGCATATGTCTAATTTTGTCCGCTAAACGAGATTAAAAGATCAAAAAAATCGAAAAAGCGTATTTGTTAATGGCTTTATAGAACCCCTCTCGAAAAACCTTAGAGTTTTGTAAGATCCCCTTCTAGATCTCCTGTAAACAGGATACAGAAGAGCTTCAATACTCTACATTCTGAAATTTTGCCCTTTTTATGATGTTTTTTTAGTGAATAGTGAATTAGACGAAGTCTGCCTGTAAACCCAAATTTTCATAAAACGCGTTTGTTGCTAGGAAAATCATTCAGCTTGAGAATGGAAAGAGCTAGGAGGGTGAAATTTTCTGTGTTAATAGAAGACATCTAACTGTCTCATAGGAAGAAAGTTTAGTTCCTTGCTATGCTTTCTGAGTGAGTCAAGAATCTTTTAAAATATAGGCAAGGCTTTGGGCCCGAAAAATACAAAAATTCTTATGAAAGAAGAGTCATACATCCAGACCCTTTTAAGGTCATCGCTAGGACACTATATAGTATCTATCGGCAAACGTTGGGCAGTTGGTGATGCACGCTCGTAAGCGTATGGTATGATAAGAATCTTCCAAAAAGGGTTAAGTAACTGTTTTGTCTGAAATTTTAATATTCCACTGAAACTTCGAGAAAAGAACGTTTCAATGAGCGTAATTTTTAGAGTGACACTTCCACTAAGACCCTGAAGAGTTGTACAAAGATCACTATCAATCTGGCTCTCTGTGTACGACAAACATCGTTAGAAAGATTTTTCCATCAAAACAAAGTGTTATGGAGGTCGGACTTGTCTTAAATTGAAGTTAAACGTCGCGCTGTTGACCTGGCATAGCTGAATTTTTAATTTAACCTATAGCTCTGACAATAGTCCGTTTTTTTATAGAGAAGATTTTAAGTTAACTTGAAATGTTATTGGAAAAATGTTGTAGCGAAATTTCAGAAATTCAGCTCTGCGACGGTATTTCTATATCAAATCCCTACAATTGAAAACTATCCTTGGCTTTGTGAATTCATCGTGTTCTAGCAATATCTGCCGAAGCTGACAACTATCATCTTGAAAATCATCTTGTAGTTATATTTCGACATGATCAATATTCCTTGTACAATTCAATCATATCGGTCATGCAAATCCTAGATCATTTTCTGACAGAACGTGGTGCTATTGCGAAGCGCTATTTTTCAGACAATAATTTAATTACTGTTTAGTTCAACCGATATCGAAAAACTTTAAACAAATATCAACAACGAAGACGGATGTATTCATGACAGAAAAAGAAAAAAGTCACGGTAATAATGATTTGTCAACAAAGGATGTCACACAAACTAAAAAGGACGTTGTACGTACAAAAAAAAATGTGTTTAAGTTTAAGTACTGTAACGATTTGTTTTAGAAATCATCTGTAAACGTTTCGAAGGATTTAATATTACGAAAACTATTCCAGATGATGGTAGAGAATTTAGATGAGTTTGTTTATTATCCTATACCAAAGAATATAGAATATATAAGATGTCAACTCACCAGAGATAAACAAGGTTTAAATAAACATTTTCTTCCAAATTATTATTTACATGCTGAACGAAACGATGGAAAAAAGGTAATTTTTAATTGAAAACAATAAATATATTGCCATTTTTTCATCTTTCAGTACCTTATATTGGCTGCTCGTCATAAACTGCGAAAATATGGTACAGCAAATTATGTAATAGGGACAGATATTACAAACATAGTGAAAGATGAAGAACCATTTATAGGACGGTTTCGGTAAACAGTATTTTCGATTTATAATCATATTTTATAATTTTGCTTTTGTTTTTCAGTGGAAATAATATGATAGATAGTGAATTTATTGTTTATGATAATGGTGTAAATCCAAAACATGTTAAACATAATCAAGAACAAAATCAACGACGACGGCAAATGGCAGCTATCGTTTATGTATGAACTTTTTCATATTTTCTTCTGTGTAAAAATTTATTTATTTCATGTAGGAAACAAATCTTCTGGGTTTTAAAGGATCAAGAAAAATGACTGTTCTTATTCCAAATATCAACAACGAAGACGGATGTATTCATGACAGAAAAAGAAAAAAGACACGGTAATAATGATTTGTCAACAAAGGATGG